ATGTCAGCCTGCTTCATTACACGGCTGAAGGGCACCACACTATGAACAGTTGCAAGGCAGTTTTTCAAAAAAAGAATAGCACAGGCTTAGGGAGGGCAGTGGGAAACACACAAATGGAATGTTTTTAAAAGACAAGGTTATGCATGGCCTAAGGAACTCTTTGTCTAGACTAGGCTACACACTGGGGTAGGTACCTCTTCTTTATCAGCCTCAATTTCCTGGTACAACAATCCATATCTCCGGTTAGCAATTTCATCTTCAGATAAATCTGAGTTGTTGGTCTCATTGTCTTTAGGACTAGTTGAACTCTCGGTGCTAGCATTTCTGGAATTTCCCATTTGAAACAGAGCCAAGGGTCTAGCTATCTCCTTGCTCGGTCCAGGATTGTTAATGCCTGCCTGCTCCCCAGGATGACCTTGTTTTACTGGTGTCTCCTGAATTTTATCACCTGTGCTTCCACCTACTTCTCCCCAGCTGTTATCAGTACCTAAGTCTTCTGTAGACCATTTATTACTAATGCCCAACCAAATATTTTCCATGTTACCTTCATCTGAGCCTTGCTGTTTGGGGAAAAAGGGCCAATTATCCAGTCCATTGGCTTGGCTATCTGACAGATCAGAAAAACCCCAGGAATCATTAGTAACTGTTGGATCCCAGTTTGCCTGCCAGGGGTCTGTTTCCAAGGCTTCAGGAACACCACTGCTACTAGGATGCTCTTCAGTGACTACTGGTTCTGCTGCCCTACCTGTCACTTGGTCTTCTGCATTATCTAGGCAAGGATTACCACAGCTTGTGCTAACAGCATCAGCTGTCTTGGGCTGCAATGCCCACTGGTTTCCAGCAGCAGCTTGACCTTCAGTACCAGAACTACCATTTGGGAGGTGGCTGATGCTGTTGTCTTCAGTTCCTTTACCAGACTCTTCTGCACTGAATAATTCAGCGTGACACAGATTGCTCACAGTATCTGTAGAGTACTTTTCTGTGTGGTCAGTTATCTGTAGGTCAGCACGTGCCCTCATGTTTATACACTCTGTGGATGTATTCTCACCAGCACCACTGTCAGCTTGGTCTAAGGCACCCTCAGATATTCTTTCATGGTCCTGATCCCAGACAGCAAGGATTCTCTCAGGTTCAGTGTCAGTGCTTTCTATAGTTTTACAGTTGTACACTAATACCTTGTCTGCACTTTCCAGCCCTGTGCTCAACAATGGTATTTCTCCATCTGTCTCCTCAGTGACACGGACCTGTTTGAATTCTTCTTCTCTAGGGTTTTCTAGGTTAGCACCACTAGCTCTCCCAGTATTCCCATCATCATCTTCAAGCACATGTAAATTTTCTACCTCTGTGCTGACTAAAACTTCAAGATCTGATTTTGCTAAACCCTCGTGAAATTCTGCCTCACTGTTTCCTTTGGTTTCACAACCTCGCTCTTCCAGTTCCTCTGTACCTTCTACCTCCTTGTAGTTAGCTCCGGTCTCTACCTTTTCACTTGGCTTGACACCTGCCCACTCGTCTTCCTCACGCTCTTCCTCTGCCTTTTGCACATCACATGGGAGGGGTTCATCCAACAAGCTATCAGTTCCCAGGATGGGTGTCTCAAAACTGGTTATGTTCTCTAAAGGCTGATTGGTCACCACATCTTCCCACGGGACATTTTTGGCATCCAACTGGTCCTCCAGTGAAGTCCTCTGGTTTTCGTTTACAGAAGCTGACCCTGGTGCAGAATCCTCCTGCTCACCTACTGCAGGCCAAACACTAGCAGGCAGAGTACCCATGGATTCACTTGAGGTTTGCTCTGCCCCATGGAAAAGCAAAGAACCGCCTGCAGTAATTTCCTGGCTGACACTGGGCGTGCTAACATCTAGGCCCCAGCTGAGTGAACCTAGATTAGTTTGAGATCTGTTAATATCTTCTGATGACCCACTGTTTGGGGTTTCCTCCATGACCAGGTTACACAGGGAAAGACTTTTTGAAGAGTCAGGCTTTAAGCAGACAGAAAAGCAAAGAAAAAACACAAGATGAAAAAGATAAAGGCGGACTTGATGAGAAAACACAAAATTTATATTTTACATGAGCAAATTTAATTTAAAGAATGAAGTGACTAAATTAAGCCATTTAAGGAAAAGCTATGTGGTTTGCAACATTTGGAGGCAATAGATTATAATGCAAAAGAGCAGCACTGATAGACAAAACCAGAAGACTATATATTACACCACACTGATTAAGCATATCTCTAGAGTGGTTGAAATTTTGAGGGGAGGTTTGCTTACCGGCTGCACCAACTCGCTGCTTGTCTGTATAGAATAAAGTCATACATATAAAGCCATGAATATAAAGATATATGTATAAATATATACATACACAGAAAAGAAGACCATGATGTACTTTGTTACAGCAGCAGTTCATTAATTAGCAGTTCTCTAACCAGGAGCTACCAGTGTCGGGAAGGAGCAGTAGGTCCTTTCGTGCCCCTCCACAGAAGACTAATCCCAGGCTCTTGAATTTGAACCTTCTGCATTACATTATTCAAAAAGTCACATTTTGCTTTCCTCTGCAAGCCACTGGCATTTTTATTGCAGGAATGCTACTACATCTCTACTGAAAAGAGGAGTTGCTCTGTGAGACAGTGACAAGGAAGGAAGAAATGCAAGTGGCAGTGGGGCTTACTTGTATTTACACTCAGGCAATGCAGAGGACCCAGAGCATGCAGCTCTGATTCTCCATTCTCTTGTAGAGGCATTTACATCCACATGGAGTAAGGCATCAAGCCACAAACCTGCTGTCTACACTGCCACTTTGAACAGACACAAATGTTCCAAGGAAGTTCAACAACTGCTATGCACTCAGTTCATAAAGAGAAACTGTGTAATGAGTATCCCTAATTTCAAACATTTAGCTGGGAAGTCCACAAGTGTGTTTTTTTTTTAAACTAGAGCAAAGATGAAAATTAATTATAATCTAGAATACTTATACAATATTAAAAGGCTATAAATAAAACTGTGCAAAAAGAAGACACTGTTAAAGCTATCTAATGTAAGTTTAGAGCAACACATTCACAACACTTCTGGGCATTTTAGCTGATCTAGATATTTGCAGCCTTGAAATTCTGGGTAGCCTACATATGTGGTTTTTTTCCCAGGCTTTATTTAACCTGACTCAATAGAAAGAGATGAACATTTAATATACATCACATATGGTATTTGTTCACAAAATGGTGTTGCAAATCTTAATACACAACAAGCATTCACAGATTTCTGTGCTGGTTGAAGTTACAAAAGGTCAAAAATTAATGTACCAGGCTCCATGTCAAGTCAACCCAGTTAACTCCATCACATTAAGTCAAAAGAAAGCTCACAAAAATGAGTTGTTTCCTTCCTGCAGTTCATTGTATCTGATTTGGCACCAGGAGGAAGAAGGAAGGATTCATACAGTTTCCTACAGTAGCAGGTTTTTTTTTGTGAATAAGTCCAGTTCACTGTATGCCAACAAGCAAAATTCTCTCTTCCCTCCTGAATTTTGAGAAAATGGTTCTCCATCGGGCTAAAGTCCTGAGGAACTACACCTTCAGGTAATGTACACTCTAATTATTACAGGAAATTATTACACTCTAATACCTGTAATTTAGGCATAGAAAAAGCAACACACTTAGCGATAATGATCGTGAATTTTATTAGCCTAGATTACTGACATCACTTAGGTTTTGGAGGCTAAGCAACACTGGCTTCATATACTAGAAAGCATCATCATCTGTAAATCTTTCATCTTGTCTTTTGGTAAAAGCACTGTAAATCTGAGTTTAGGTTGTTACAAACTCAGAGGCACGGAAATATGTATTAAGTATATGCACGGAAATTCTGTATTATTATGGCTTACCGTCCATAGATCCCATGGCAATGTCTGAAAAAAGGAGTGGATAAAAGAGGCTGTGAGAAAAATACCATTCCTGCACTGTATATACAAACACTGTGCACTGAGAAGATAATACTTATTTATATGCATATTTATATTACATTCACGTTTTATATATTAGCACATGTGTGCACGTATCTGCATGATACTCCTCTTGGCTATACAGGATGGGCAGTATGCAATGCATTGGGTTATTTCCTATTTCAAAGCAGTTGTTGCTTTCCAGCAAGCTCACATTGTCACGTGCATGAGTAATGGCCAGATTCTGAGCTGGTGACTGAATGACTTCCAACATGTACAAGAGCCTCTGCAAGGTGTCAGCTTTAAAGAGTTTACAGAGGTCAGGTTTTTCAGCCAGCTAAAAAAATGATCCAGCTATCCACTGATAAGTGGTTTTTCTCACTACTCTGGCACCAGAAAGGAAAACGGTATACTTTTGGGGAAAGAAAACAAGAAAGTTAACGAGTTATTTTCTTTTTCTTGTCCAGTTGGTTAATTAATGTTAGTGACCTTTTAACAGAAGAGCCAAATAGATGAAAAAAAAGCAGCAGACTTCATGCCAAGTACTTATAGCCCACCACATGAGAAGGAGCTCTGCTGGTTGGCCCCAAAAGTCTGAGATGCTTCAAAATGTATCTACTATATTGACACCTAGGTTAAAGCCCACAAAACCTCAAAACCTGAAGACATTAATAAAGTAAAATGTGAAATTGAAACATTTGCAAATGTTAAATGTGACATCTAACATTTGCATGAGAGAAGGGATTGGTGCATATTGCTTCATATTTTATAAGGACAGAATGGTTCTCTGAACAACTTCTGCTTTGATGAGCAAAAGACACAGTAATAACTCACTACTCAGATTTACAGCATATTAAACATCAAGAGCCATTTCACATTCATTTTAATTTGGTTTAAGTCCAGGTATGTGCCGCTTCTGCAGATGTAATTCATAAATATATGTTCTTCCTTTGCTGTAATACTTAAGTTTAGCAATCTCACTGCTTTAATAATTGTTATTACAAAACAAGCTGAAAAGGTTGTTAACAAAGCTACACCTAGAGTTTTCTGTCACTGGTGACTGCCAAGGAATTTCATTCTCCTTCCTCATCCTCTTCCCTGTTTAGAGGGAGCAAAAAAACCCCAAGTAAAATGCACAAAGCTTCTGCTAGAATAAAACATTTCTAGCAAATCTCAGTGAGAAATTTCAGATCGCATTTGGAATGCTGACAATGCAGCAGTTTTCTGATAGTGCATATCCCATGAGAGATCGCTACAGATCTCAGTACATAACTAGCACTGCACACCAAATAAGAAATTAATTAAACCAAGGAAGAGATCAGCAGAGAATCAGGACTATCTCAGCCCTAAACCTGCTTGTCTTCTCATTCCTTTCCCAGTGCTGCACTCCTGAACAGCTGATGAGTCCTCTCACGTCTCACAGAACAAGGCAGATTAGTGATAGCCACAGGGATAATGGGTCTTGCTAATGATGTATTAATATTGTTTCTTTGTGTACAAGAGAGCGATACAGATATGCTGGCCAGGAGATCTTCCCCACTTTACTATCTGCCCTCTGGGCAATGAAGGTGAATTCTGGCCTTAAAAACAACAGGTCCTGTAGGATAAGCCAGTGAATATCAGCAACTTAATATTGCAACCTTTTTTATTACTTATCATAATTTCTCCTTTTTTTTTTTTTTTCTTTCTTCATATTGCTGCAAGAAACTACCATGGCAAATATTACTACTAAATGCAGAATTTCTGTAACACAGCATTCTACAAGGAAACACCCTATTCCATACTCTCATTTTCCTTGAGGTTAAGTCTAAAACAGATTTATAGCAAAACCAGTCAGATCATTCCACTGCCTGGTACAGAAACTCCATCACAGCAAAGCAATTGCATGCTGACTCCATGAGACTTAGGTCGCCCGAGGCATCTCTTCAGACATGAAAAATCAAGGCCAGGTCAGAAAAGTTGTCAGAAAAACAAGCACTGGAGAATTATAATGTTTGCACTAAGAGTTATTCTTAAGATGGAAAATAAGAGCATGCCAAAGTCCAGGCCAAGGCACCAGCAAACATTCTCACTGGGAGGCATCTCATTTTACCACCTGACAATTCACTCTCATTCCAGTACATCAAGTACAGGGTTACTGATGGGGAAATACGAGGCTGCCTAGAGCCTCTCAGGAAGATAAAGGTTTTCAGACGCTGCAGATACACTGTTAATACACGAGGCAAATCTTAGCTACCAAACACAGCATGTTGCACTCATGTGCTTTGCCTGCCTCAAGGCAAAGAGATACCTGAGACATGGGTGAGTGACCAGCTCCCGTTGGTACAACTTCTGGCTTGAAAGGGTCAAAGTCCAAATCTAGCAAAGATTCCTCTTTCTTAGCTTCGGGTACTTCATTCTGTTAGAAGAGAAACACAACTCTTGAAAAACTTATCTTTCAAGAGCTTCCCTGGGCAGTAAAATATTAAGAGGCACAAGAAGGAAATAATTCTATCACAAACTTACTAGCTGTTGTGCATGCCAGGAGGGGAGGAAGCTCTGAAGATTTTCCCAAGCTTTAGTGTAAGTTTTAATTTTAGGAGATTCACTCTTATGATGCCTCTAATTTCGCTGCAGTACAGATTAAAGCAGCAAAGCCCTATTCATCAGCCTGTTGGTTTTGTGTCTCTGCACCAGCAGTGTCTGGGACACCAAGGGTGGTCCTTTGGGAAGTCCTGCACTATTAGCAGGCTCTGCAGGCTTGAGTGCTTCTTCCATACTGCCCAACAAGGGCTTTGGGAGTATAGGAGAAGCCATAAGCACCAAGAGCAATCAGTTCACGTCTCCTGAGGATTGCACGCTATATATTTTCAATAACCGTATCTCTCACGGAAGGATACAAATCTATACATCATTTCATTTGGGTATGTCTGTACATACTCAGGGATCTCACATACAGTAAGGATGCTTTAGTGATGGGGGTGGGTTTTGTGGAGAGAGATGTGCAGATGATTATTGAGAAGGTGGCCAGGGAATGAACAGTTTAGGTCATTCCCAAGTCACTGACTGCAGAGGACAGAAGGACATAAATTACACACTGAAGGGGGACCCATTTTTCCTTGAGAGACAAGGAAAAGAT